ACCCGAGCGCGTATTTGTCTTGCTTTTTAGCGTTTAAGTGTTTTTTTATTGATCTGTAGGGGTCACCCCCCTCCCTATCAAAAAACCCTAAACCCCAAACCCCAAACCCCAAACCCCAAACCCGAAACCCCAAACCCGAAACCCTAAAACCTAAACCCTAAACCCTAACCCAAACCCCAAACCCCAAACCCCAAACCCCAAACCCTAAACCCTAAGAGATACCAACCAAAAATTGGATTCAGGATTTGGCATTTAATCAAACACTTGGTGCTCAAGCTAAACCAACCATTTGGATCAAGTGTCACATAACTCACTCGCATAATTCCAAGAATATAAGGTGAAAAGATACTACTCAAAAACATTAATAGAAATTGTTTTTAAATGCAAAGGCCGAAGACATAACAACTCACGAGCAAACCCTAAAACCCAAATCAATCGGTATGTTGCCTCATCTTCAAAAGAACAAAGCAAAGAAGGAAAAGAATCTCTTGATTATAAGATACTTGAACACAGAAACCCTAAATAAAGAATGTAATGGGAGAAGAGAGCTGATACACAAAACGAGCCGGCAGAGGAGGTGGATGAAGAACGTGAAGCGAGCAGCCCAGAATCCCTAAATCAAGCCGAAAATGGTGGTGCGTCTCGACCTAGTACGGGAGTGGTCGGTTGTGGCCGGAGAAGTGGATGCAAGGTTGGGATTCGCCGGAGAAGGGGATGGAATTGGAGGTGGAATCGCCTAAAGTAGATGGTTTTATTTTCATCAGTGTATGTTTTTTTTTCCGGTAAAGGGGACGGAACCCCGAAAAAATTTATTCAAAGAAGAAAGCAATACAAACTACAAGGGGCATACCCCAAGAGAAGTAAAAAATAAATGCCTGCGTAGAAAATGTTTAGGGAAAACACTAAGTAAAGGCCTAAGACTAGGAGCCAAATTGGCATTAAAAAGTCTACAAGCCCAAATGAACAAACTATCAAGAGAAACACCAGAGTAAGAAACCCATCTCCAGAACTTTTGATCAACATGAACAGGCCCAATGGAGAGCCAATTATGAACCGGCGGTTACGAACCGGTTAGGGTATTTTAGGAATTCTTGGACCGGAACCGGTTA